CAACAATTATTATAGGACAAAACCATTATAGTTAATTTCTATGTTCGTAGATATATATTTTTTAATTATTATTATTATTATTATTTTTTGTATTGCAGTGTCTATACTCATCTACAATTAGACACCCGTTGCGGCTGGAAATAATGCCATTGAAAATTCCAGATGATGCTGAAATACAGAAATTGACAAAGATCAGGTTGAAGAGCTGGAAATGTTTGTCCTGACATATCCAAACAGGGCCAAGTTGTTGAAACAACTCAGTTGATTCTGTCTTCTTTTCAACAAACCCAAGAGAGCTTCTCACCTTGAGTTATCACAATTCTGCCTATATATCATATAAATAAGCTATCATTGACGCTGTTTCATTTACCCCAAGATTTAAAATTTGGATGTGCCCACACATTAGTACAGAGTTCAATACAACATCATCGGTATGGTTCTGAAGAGAAATATCAAAACCATTCTAAATCTAAACCAGTCATTCAAGCTGTAAATTATCACTTCAAAGATCATAAATGTATAGTTTCAAGAGGTAGGGGAGAATTGTGATCACCAATGAGAACAGAAAATGTAATGCAAACTAAATAAATTTGATGTTTGTTCCTTAGGTCATTGACGGCCATATGAGGGAGGGCCATATGGCGAAGGGCCAATTGGTGGAGTACGTGGCGTCCTTGGTCTTGCATATTCAGCAAATATAACCCAACCGTCGAGATACTACAAACATACACAAGGAAATAAGTTAAAAGAATGCTCATTCTTCCGCAAAAACAGAGAGAACACTAATAGACACTAATGCTACCTACCACTGATTTGAACAAGATGATTTCAAAGAAATAGTAACATGATTCGTGAATGTATATACGGGAGAAGTAAAATACTTGAAAAAAAATGGAAACCAACTTTATATCTTACTTTAATCTCAACTTGACGAAATCATTTTCAGTGAACCAAAGAGAGAATAAATATATAATGAATTCAAAACATAGCAAAAGCCATTACAGCAGCAGAGAGGTTGCACCAAATTAGGAAGCAAAATGATAGCAGGAAGGAGAATATAGAATCAAAAAGCACTGCTTGGGCTTAATTTCGAAGGGAATAGTGTTAAAATGTAGAAATTCCACCATTGGGTTTATTTTAAATCTACAGGTCAATTCAATCTTTAAGAAGACCATGTATAACCAAGCAGATATTAACATCTCCATTGTCATTACAATCCTAGTAACACTTAACAGGCCAACTGACTAAAACATCCCAGACACGAGAATGTGGATGAATGTACAGTACAGAATTAACTTACCTTTCCATCCATTCCCTCTATTCCTTTTGCAGCATCTTCTAAGGTAGCATATCTTACAAAACCAAATCCCTTGGAATATCCTGATACTCGATCAGTCACTACTTTAGCTATTAACAGAAAAGAAGGGACAATGGGTTAAAAACTAGAAAAATGACAATTTTCAAAAAAGAAAAATCTAGGAGAGGTGAACAAACCATCAACTACTTCTCCAAACTTGGAAAAGGCCTCCCGAAGTTTCTCAGTAGTAGTGCGTTTATTAAGCCCTGAAAACAAGTTCAAATGACACCACATAAAACTACATAAAACTATAATGCTTTTCAGAAAGGTAAACCGAGTATAGGTCAGCAAATAACAACTTTACAAGATTGATGTACCAAAATGTCCAAAATAATATATATTATACTGGAAGGCAATCAGGACTTTTAAGGAACCAAACTTATTGGGGAATTTGAACCAACACCAATGAAATGGAATCTAGACTGACACTGACAAGAAAAACTTAACAAGCATAAGGTAAAACAGAAATAAGGAACCAAAACCATGCCAGAGGTGGATAAAACCAAACCAGTCTTAAGTGACCATGTTATCTTGAAAGTTGAAAGTATACTTGATACATCAAATTCAATTATATGTACCCTAGATTCTCCCCAAAACAAGCATAAATCAAACCAAATAGACACAGAAAAGCCCCAATCTTAAAATGCTTGGGGTTGGCTAGGTCATATGATACCAAGTAACCAAAAGTAGAGACCAAAATAATTTAGCTCTTGCATAACAATATATACACTGAAAGCTGGAGGTGAGGGGGGTGGCATAAATTTCCCAATTTTGATAACAAAAATTGGTTCAAACACATTTTTTCTTCTTTAGACTGTAAACAAGCTCACATTTTTCCTTTAGATCATAAAAAAGCACACATTTTTTCTTCTTTAGATCATAAACAAGCACGCATAATATTCACAAATATAAGTTCAACGGCTCAAATAACATCCATTTACACATAATATACTAACAAAAAGATCCATGTACAGACAAGCAATTCTTCAATGGTAAATGCATTACCCATATAAAAAGGTTGATGAAATAAATATAAGCAGTAGAAGGGTGTGTGTGGGGGTTTACTAATGCTTTACAATCTGCTAAACCTTCAGTGAATAAACAAAAAGCCATGTCAGGGTAACATATCACCAGATTTACAACCGGAACGGAACAAATCAATTCCAACAAAAATTCTCAGTTCCAAAAACGAATTTATCTTCGCAATTGAGCATCAAAACAAGAAGCTTGTTTTGGCCTAAACAAGTCAAGAACAGGTTCCTAAAGATTAAGATTGCCTTCTTACACTTTTAATTCCATTTCTTCACATTTATCACAAGCAAACAAGCATCCAAACTCAAAAAATAAACATGTTAAAAAAAAAATGAGAAAAGTGAAAATCAGAACCCCAGCGCATCTGTGCTTGTACTATTTTCCTCAATGTCTAAAGCTATAAACCAAGAAAGAGATCAAAACAAGAAGAAATGTTACGCACCGGATACGAAGAGATTGGGGTTAGGCTCGGCTTTCTCTGGAGCTGGTGCGTTGCCTGCCGCAGGAGGAGAAAACATGGGGGAAGCATAAGTCGTGGAGAAGAGGCGCCTTAAGCCGCGAGGAGCCACCGCCGCCGCCGCCGCCGCCGCCCTCATCGCCATTGTATGTGAGTTTATTATGGACTTACTAAAACTAAAACCAAAACCAAAACCCTTGCAGTTGCAGAGAGAAAAGGGTTTAACGACCGCCGCCGCCGCCGCCGCCCTCATCGCCATTGTATGTGAGTTTATTATGGACTTACTAAAACTAAAACCAAAACCAAAACCCTTGCAGTTGCAGAGAGAAAAGGGTTTAACGACACAAAAACAGAAGGCTCCGGCAACACGGATCCAACCATCAAAGTCCTAGACGGATGCACTGACGAAATTACAAAAAAGGGCTTTATTGAATCTTCAGCATATTGGGTTATTGTTTTGAAATTACATAAATGCCCTGGAACATGAGAGAGAAATAAGAAAAAATCGATTTATGTGCTTTTGCTTCCATTAATAATATAAGAATAATTTTTTTATATAATTTTTTATATAACTTTTATATATTTTTAAATGAATAAATATATTTAATATTATAGATTCTAAATAAATAAA